TTTACTTAACCATACTAGAGTGGCTGAGTGGAGCCAGATTTAAGCTCAATGTAAAGAAAGACATCAAAAGAATCATAGCTCTCCAAAGATGGGAGGAATTTTGTCAGGAAATAATGTGTTCAGGGGCAGCTAGGTGGCACAGTGGATAGAACACCAGACCTGGAGTCAGGAAGACTTATCTCTTCTTGAGTTCAAACCCAGCATCAGACACTTATTAGCTGTGTGATCCTGGCCAAGTCACTTGACCCTGTTTGCCTCAATTCCTCATCTGTAAAATGAGCTAGAGAAGGAAATGGCAAACCACGCCAGTAACTTTTCCAAGAAAACCCCAAAACTAAGTCACAAAGAGTTGGGACATGACTGAAAAATGACTCAATGAACATAGTGTGTGTGTCACCCTCACTGGAGAAAATAACATTTATATAGCACTTTCAAGTTTGTAGAACACTTTACATTTATTGTCTTCTTTGAGTCTCATGACAACCCTGGAAAATAAAGTGCTATTGCTATCTCAATTTTACAGATGAGGAAACTAGCAGTCAGAGGTTAAGTAAATTGTGCAGGGTTACACAGGTAGTGTCAGAGGCTGGATTTGAACTCAGGTCCCATGTGCCACCTAGCTGCCCTTCAAACAGAGCCTGCATAATCCATTGTTTTGGCTATTATAGAAGGGACAGAGCAGTTAGGTGGCACAGTGGATAGAGTGCCAGGCCTGGAGGTAGGAAGATTCCCTTCCAAGTTCAAATCTGGCCTCAAACACTCCCTAGCTGGGTGACACTAGGCAAATCACTTAACTCCGTTTGCCTCACTTCCCTCACCTGTAAAATGAGCCGGAGAAATGGCAAACGGGTATCTTTGCCAAGAAAACCCCCAATGGGGTTACAAAGAATCAGACAGGACCGAAAAACTACTCAGCAAGAAGAAGTGATCTTTGGTCAGGGACAGCTGGGATTACATGGCTTCTGAGGTTCCTTCTAGTTCTTAGATTCTATCGTTCCTCCATGGATTTTCCCTGATTTCCACAGTTGAAAGTGATTGTTCTCTCCAATTTTCCTAGGGCTCTTTGGATTTTTCTTTTAGCTTTACCAGCTTATCTGTGTATATGTGAAAGAATCACATAGTCTGGGAGTTGGGAGCTCAGTGCCTGGCACACAGGTGGCGCCTCAAGTTTGTTGACTGACCATACTTCAACAGGAATCCCTTCTACAACATCTCTAACATGTACTCATGTAGCCTCCACTGGAAGACCCCTTAATGAAAGAAAAGTCATATTTCTCCCTTAATAGGGGGATACTGTAAGCTCCCTGAGGTAAAGAAGTGTGGTTTTTCTCCTTTAGGCACTTAACAAATATCTGTGCAAATGAGTCGAATGTTTATTCTCCTTTCCCTTGTTAAGTTAACTCTAGAAAATGCACTCATGTAGCCTGTAGGACGTAGTGATGGGCAGAAGGGAAGAAAGGAACAGCTGCTAGAATTAGATGTCCAATCACAGTGGCGGCAGAAGCCAAAGGGAGGCCATCAGGAATTGTGGTGGCTTTTTTCTGATCCCAGAGATCAAAACAGGTTCAAGGCCTAAGAAGATCTAGGAAATCTGCTGGCTTTTGGTTGGGGCTCAAGTATCAAATTGAAAACAACAAAACAAAACACTTATTTAGGACCTACTTTGGAAACGTCAGTGCTAAGTGATAGAGATACAAAGACAAAAACAAAATGGGTCCCTGCCCATTAGAAAATTATATTCTATTGGAGTGATGTGGTATGTGTGCAGACAGACACAGAAGAGAAAGGAAAGGAGAGAAAGTTCATTAACCAATGGTCTGTGGGGTGTAAATCCAGAGGTGTTGTGGAGGAGGTGGCACTTGAAAGAAGATAAGGATTCTAAGAACTGGAGGTAAGAAGGAAGAACGTTTCAGGAATGAAGGAAAGCCTTGTACAAAGGCAGGAAGGTGAGAAATAGCATGCCAAGTTCAGAGAACATCTAGTAGTCCAATTGGACTGGAACATAAAATATGTACAGAGCAGTGATTTGCAAATAAGGTTGAAAAGGCAGGCCAGAACTTCTAACAATACTTGGTGGTAATGTGAAAATGAGGGTACTTTCCCTTTAAATTCTATGAAATATTATCCAGTTTGTACTGGAAAAGTGTATAACTCAGACTGAAGACCTACTTTTTCCCGAATTGGGAAGGTAAACTAAGGGGCCATTAGGACTATTTTTACCTAAGGTAAGGCACCTGGGTGCTTTAGAGAGCAGTGCAAGCTGGGGCATAGAGAGGGGTGGGGAGGAAGTGGAAGATGGGGAGGGAAGAAGGATGCAAAGGTCCGCTGGGGCTTAGTTTTTAACAAAGGAGCTAAGATCCATGGAAGTTAACTGAAGGTGACAGAAACCTGAGGCCCAGGGCTGCAGGGGCATGAGAGCTGCCTTCTAGTCTTTGAAGGCCTGCTATTAGTAACTAGAATCAGAAGCAGTGGAGGCTCACAAGAAAGTTCCATTTCAAAAGAAGCAAAAACAATTAGAGCTTTCTAGAAGGGGAATGGGCTGCCTTGGGAATAGCTGATTCCCCATCCCTAGAGACGTCCAAGATGGGGCTGGATGATCATTTGCTGGGAATGCTGTAGTAGCAACTCTTGCTCATGGACAGAGTGGACAAGAGACCTTGGTTCCAAAATTCCTTATGGCTGAGATTCATCTCAAGGGACCAGCTGAGCAGAGGGGATGTGATAAAGCCCAGCGGAGTAAAGGAGAAACGGCAGGCCGGAACTATGGGGCTCCTACAGGGAGACTGGGAGGCAGGGCATCGAGAACTTGGTGGTCCCAAGTGGCAGGCAGCAATGTTAACAGTCCTTCGTAGGCAGGCAATCTGTCCTAGGCACCTGTCCACCTCTCATCGATAAAACAAGGCAGTGTTTGGCGCAGCATCTCGCACACAGCAGGTGCTTGATTAATGTTTACTGACTGATAGATAAATCCCTAGGCCTCAACAGTAAGAGGATGGAGGGAGAGGGATATTGCCTATGTTCTGATTCTATTTGACTACTCTCTCCAACATGATGCCACATCACCTTTTATGTGCATGCTAATTCAGCTAAAACCCTACCACCTCCCTTTTTGCACCCTCATCTCCGTCACACATATAACACCCTATGCTCTCCAACCTCCTGGTCTTTTGTGTGTCCACAATGTCATCATGGCTTCATGAAAAGAAGCTTCTATTTGCAAAAATGAGACTTATACTCATATTCTGCCTCCATTTAATTACCTTATACCCTTTAACCTCCCAGGACCTGTTTCTTTGTAAAATGAGGGGCTTCAACTAGATATGCCATCTAGTGAGTGTTCCTTCTCTAAATCTATGATTATTTCTCCCATTCTTGAATTCTTTTGAGCTCAAATCAAATGCCTTGTACTCCAGGAAACTTTCCTTGATCTCCCCAGGTTGGTAATATCCTCCCTCCACTACCTTTCATAGCACTTTGTTTGTACTTACTTCTCTGGTGCACCTATCATGCGATATCCTCTACTGTAGTCAGCTCCTTTTTTGGGAACTCCTTACTCTCTCCCTTCATCTCATCAATTCCCTCAGCTTCAACTACCTTCTCTTTGTAAAGGACTCCCAAATCTCCAGCCCTGGTTTCTTTCTGAGCTCCAGCTGGGCACCTCTGCCTGCCTCCAGGACATTTGCCACTGATGTCCCAGCAGGACCTCACTCTCAGAAAGTTCCAAATTGAACTACCACGATTTGGTACTAGGAGGGACCCGAGACACATCTAGTTCAACTCCCTTATTTTACAGACAAGGAAACTAAGGCCCAGTGGCTGACATGCCCAAGGTTACACAATTAGACAGTAACAGAGCTGGAATTCAAAACCAATGATTTTCTCCACCAAACCTTCACCTTGTTTTGATTTTACAGCTCTGGGTAGGTCCACCATTCATATGAATTCTCTATGTCCTAATCCTAGGCATATCAGACCTTTCCTATTCCTTCTCCACCCCCCCCCCCCATAATTCTCACTGATCAGGTCCTGCTGATTCCACCTCTGTCTTCCTTGGCATTGATGACTATGATGGACCCTTTCCCTATCTTGCTAGGGAATTAGTACATAATGGTGCCTGCAGTAACTGTTGCCAGCCCAAGTGGGTATACAAACCCTGGAAGACTCTGTGTATGTGTGTGTTTTGCTTCATTAATTATAAAACAAGGGAGTTTGTGTAGCTCCTGGGACCTAACACTGTGTAGTGTCCAATAATCAGACTGTGTCCTTCAGCATGTTTCTCTTTGGGTTGTGTAGCATGTCCTAGAGGAAACTAGCTTCATTTTCTGGGATCCTAATGGAAGTCCCCATTGCTCTGGGTCTGTGGAAGGCAAGAGGAAATTAGGGACTGCTTTGAGCTGGTCAGGTTCCTAGGGATAGTGGTCAGTGATGAGAACTGACCCAAGATTGGTCTGGCTGGACTTATGTTTGGTTCCTGTTACTAATAGCAAGTAGGATCTAGGGAAGATAACAAGTCTCTTCCATTCTCCAATGACCTGGGAAATTGATAGCTTACCTAGCTGGATTGGGGAAGACAGCGATGCTTAGTGATTCTATCCAGGGTGGGGACTCTGACTCCAAGAGTATAGACACCCCAACTGGATCAAAGATCCTAGAATTGGCACTTCACGGATTATTCTACACCTGGGACTGTGACGGGTGTTTGAGCAAACATGCCACACCTCAACCTGAAAGACACTGACCCTTGAGGGGCAGATGCCTTGACAAGATAGATGGAGTACACTGAGAATGGATATCCTGATCTGAAAACAAAGACAAAACCCACTAAAAGATGAACATCCTTTCCTGAAGCAGAACACTGCCCCGAGGAGGAAAGATACCTCTACTAGAGGCCCAACATCAGTATCCCTGGTGGAAGAAATGTTCTGGCACCACCCACAGTGGGATTCTGGTAGTGTTACTATGGTTACAGAGTTGTATGTGGTATCTCAAAAAGAAGAGAATGTTGTATAGCTCATAGTGGACCCTACCAGATTCCGGTGGCTCAGTGTTGGGAGATCAGTCCTAGGAGATGGAGGCAGAGTTAGGGCTGATGAGGCTGAGGCTTCCCAGACTGACTAGAAAGCCCTCCAGGCTCTCCAAGTCTCCAAGAACAATGGGTCCTGCCTCTTTCTGGAAACTAGGCAGGGCTTGGCCCAGGTTTGGCTCTGTTTTCTTTTGATTCTGGGTGTAGCCCTGGGATCCCTATCAGTTGCCCTGATGGTTGAACTTTTTTTGGAAGGTGGTCCTGGGGGGAAGAACAGGGCAGGTACATGGCTCATCATAGGTTCAGGCTCCAGCTCCACTGGGTCAACCAGTCTTTTAATCCCCACACAAAGGACCTTTACGCCCTTTAAGTGGTAGTGCCATGTGGACATTGGGAAGGGAGAGAAGCATCACAAGACCTAGCTGTCTAGGACTTTAGGACTGTGGTGGGTGGGTGAGTAGGAGGAATTATCCTACTCTTTCCTATTCCTCCACCACCTTCCTGAAGGGAGCCCCGAACAATAGTAGAATTTGAAAATTCAAAAGGCTTGGACAGAGCGCTTCTAATAAGAGTATGGCCCCTCTTGTCCACGCTGGGGTACAGGGTAGGGCTAGGATCCCATTTCAGCTCATTCTGGGAAACAAAACCCCTTCAGTTGCCCTTGGCTGTTAACCTCCCCCTTTAGTTCTCTGGGCAAGACAATGGGGCATTGAATTATGTTCTCTAGAAAGGGCCCCTTGTTCCTAGCCCTTCCCCTCACCCCAGGACCATCTAGAGCCTGTCCTGCCCTGTACCTTGTCTTCCTGCTTTGTCCCCAGTACTATCCCCTGCCTGGCCCTTGTACCTCTCCCTCTTTCCCCTTGGTATTGTCTTGCTTTTACTGATCTTCCTCTGGGGTCCTTCTGTCCAACTCCCTTAACCCAGCTCCAGGGCCCTCAAGGGATGGGTAGAAGAGCATGCAGTATGGAAACCATAACTGCTTGGGCGCAGAAAGCTGCCCTGGTGGGGCAGTGATTGATTTCACTTCTTCACATTCTCCAAGCCTTCCCTCAAAAGACAGAAATGAAAACCAACACGCAAGAATAGGGTGTGAAAGATGGATAGAATTGTGAAAGAGCGGGAGGGGCAGGCTCTGGACAAAGGGGAGAAGCCTAAGTGACTCACAAGGGGCAGTCCCTGCCCAGGCCCCACCTCCCCTCCCTCCATATAGCTGTGTTGGTACCCAGGGTGCTACTGCTCCTTCTACCCTTCGTTGAATGCAGCCATGGCTCCCAGTCCCCGGTGAGGTCATGGGACGCTGGGTCTAAGGCTCAGAGAAAGGGAGGGTTTCTGGGTCTGGGATGTTTATGGCAGGTTGGGGGCAGGGGATACCAATTTATGAACTAGGGCCCAGGCCCTAATCCTGAGGTACGGACCTTTGGAGTCCATCTGGGATGAAATCAGGACATATGCAGCCCCTGAGCCACCTGACTCTCCCAGGTAACTCCCCCTCACTTCAATCTTAGGTTCTTGCTACCTGTCTCTCTGCTGATCTTACTTCTGGCTCTAGTGGCCGCAGGTGAGAATCACTTCCTTTCTCTTCTCCATTCTAGGAATTTAGGGGTGGGGAAAGGGCAATTGTGGGGAATGGTGTCATATCTGGGGTAAGTGACATAGGACTGCACAGTGCCATTCAGCTCCATGGGGATCACGGCAAGGGAAGATCCTTACCAAATCACTTCATTTCCATTATTCAGACCCTGTATGAAGGTAGGGGGCATTGGGATGGGTTGGCCCAAGACCCCTACTCTATCCCTTCCTTCTGACCCCATTCCTCCACCCTTGGAGGTTCCAATCTCCCTTCATTATGCCCCTTTTAATTTTCTCTCCCAAAGTGGAAGATCCGTTGTCAAACAAGCGTACTCTGCAGACGGAGGATGAAAACGAAGGAAATGGTTTAGAGTCCGAGTCCCTAGACAACCCTGATTCTGACTCAAGCCAGAATTTTGCTGGCGAGGATGCAGGCAGTGAGGAGACAGCTGGTGAGATCCTCCAGGCAGAACATCAAAGCAATGAGCCCATAACTGATGGGGCTGGGATATGGTGGATGAGGCAGCTTGGACCTAACAATGCCTTTTACCCTTCATTCTCTGCCGCGCCCCTCCCCTCTTTGTAGATATGGAAGATGAAGCAGAGGAGAACGAGGAAGATGAATCCCCCTTTCAGAAGAAGGCTCAAGGTGAGCTCAGCACTTTCCACCTAGACCCTAGGGGAAGGAAATGTTTGTGTGTGTAGGTACAGTGTATATAGTGTCAAGAAAGGTTACCAAGGGATACCACATAGGAAGGGGAAAGCCAGAAAAATTAACAAACTTTAGGCCTTCAAAGGACTGATGGAATTGTGGGTCTTTAATTTGGAGGATCAGGTCTGGGACATCACTGTCATCAAGGGTCTGAAGGATTTCCACGGGCAGGGGATTAGATTTGCCTAGCAAGGCTAGAAAGCAAGGATTGCCTCTTGCGAGAGGTAGGTTTTCATAGTAAGGATGGATGACCAGAAATACTGTTGCAGGGGATTTCCATTCAGGTCTAGTCTGCATGACTTCTGAACTCCCCTCTCAGTAATGGGCCACTTGAGTGTGGGTGGGAAAACACTGTAAGCCGCCCCCCTCCCCCCAACTTCAAAGCCATGCTGGAAGAATCCAAGTAAGTAACTCCCATCTGCCATAAAATATTCCTCAGATGAATGCCTCAAATGGAAGATCAATGAAGGGTCTGCCTCCATTCAATACTGGGAACATATGGGAATGGTGGGGAAAATGGGTGAGAATTACTGCATTCAACTGGATGGGTGATGGAACTGCCAACACTGATTATATCCATGCCCTCCTCATACCCCCAAAGGTGGAGAGGACCTCAGCAGAAGAGGCGGTGGTGTAGCAACGTGAGACTGGGGCTTGATCCCCAGTACAAGACCTATCTCCCAAGTGAAATCTGGTTGAAAGCACAGGCCTCAGGGATTGGGGGTATGTGGGCACCAAAACCGAAGCCAGCCCAATGAGAAACTCCAGTCTGACATCCCTTCCTCTCTCGCCGACAGGCTTATGAAGCTGCTGCCAGGAGCCTCTGAAGAGAATCAGTCCCTGGGCCTGATATGCTGTTCTCCCTTCCTACTTTATTCCCAGGTGACAGGGAATATTTGCCCTATCCCCTCAATAAATATATCTGAGAAAAATCTGGCCTTAGCTAATGAGGGTGTGTGTATTGCAGTGACTTAGAGAAAATCTGCGTCCTTCAAATTTTGATACAAATCTGAATACATCTTACTTTCTATACCAAATGGAAGTCCAGTGATCCAATCACAGTTAGCAGCAGGGAGGCTGGGGGGAGCTCAGGTCAGTGTGCCTTGTATGCTAGCATCTTTATTTGGGGAATTTCTTCAACCAAAAGGGCAGAAGGATGAAATGCAGAATAAGAGAAAGAAATTGCAGGGATGTGGGGCAAATCCAGGTAAAACATCATGGACTTAATCAGCGAAACAGTCCAGCAAGAGAAATCGGTGAAGAAGGGAGCCAAGAATGGTCTGAGAAGAGAAGGCAGCGGGGTGTAGTGGAGCACTGATTTTGGGATCTAGAAGACCTGGTTATGAATCCCAATCCCACTTATTAAGCTTTGTGGCCTTGTGCAGGTCACTGGGGATCCTAGGATTTAGAGAAGGGACTAGAAATCTAGGACAACTTGTTTGCTTTAAAGATGAGGAAAATTGAGGCCTGGAGTTAAGGGACTTGGCCTAAGATCACACAGCAAATTTGGAGCCCAATCACTGCAAATAATCCACTGTTATTTCTATAACATGATGCATTCAACCTCTCTGGGCTTGTTTTCCCACCCATAAAAAGGGGTTGGATTAAAAATCTTAATGGCTGCTTCCTGCTCTAAACTGTACAATCCTGGAGGGGAGGGTACTAACGGCACCCCTTCAAACACTCCACCCCAAGGGAACACAGACAAATCCATCAGGACTTGGCACCTTTCACTTGGGTATGGTCCCCCGCTGAGAGGCCAGCCTCTGACTTTGGCTTCCTTCCCTTCCTGGCTTCCCTCCCCAAATGCTGAAGCCATCTTAGCAGCCTCAACCCAATCTGAGTTCAGTGTAACTCCCCCTGAATGCCAGGAATAACTCCCCATTAGCTGAGAAACCACAGCCATATAGCCTTTCTGTTTATAATCTGTCTGTCTTCATATATATATATATATGTATGTATGTATATATATATATAATATATATATATTCTCTATATAGGGGGAGAAGCATAAACTTCTCTTGTGTAAAAATCCAAAATACAATTCTATCAACAATCAGTGGGATCAGTACAAAGTGTAACCGAGAAAACCCCAAACCAACCAACAGGAGAACATATGGAGCCAGGGATGGGGAGTGGGGCAAGCATAAGCTGCTACCCTGTGGAGCCACAGGAAAATGTGAGAGGTGGTGGGCAGGGTCCCACTCCATGGCATGCATGGTATTGGGGTTGGGGTCCTTTCTCCTGTTGACCTCTGCTCACCGGGGGCTGCTTCCATTATACCAAGCTCTGTTCAGAACAGCCCCTTGGGCACACTCTCTTCCCTTGCTCAGGTGGGTGGCCCCTTAATTATGGCCTGGGTCCTATCTGTTGCCAGGTTCCCTCCAACAGGCTTGTCTGGCCCCAAATTAGATTTCTGGCAACTTCTCTGAGCACAAACGCAAGGGACAGTGCCCCTCTCCCACCCTCAGGAAGGTTGGCAAGGAAGGGAGGGGGGACCCTGATGCCTGGATCATCCCCCTCCCAGAGGAAGAGGGGCCTTAGGAGACGGCAGGGTCCTTGGCCTTGGTGGGCTCAGAGCCAGACAGCAGGGAGATGGTGGGGTCATCAGTGTAGTCATCCCCCTCCGAGAAGTAAGGCCCCTCCCCCAGTTCGAAGAAGATGGGCAGGTCACTCCCTGTTGTATCCAAAGTGCTGGAGTCTACCAGGAACAAGGGCTGGGCTGTGTAGTGCACCAGCTGCTTCCCTGGGTGGGTAGAGGAAGAGGGTCACGGGTGTGGGGATGAAGGGAAAAGGAAGGCTTTGGAACTGGAGATCATGGGTAGTATTGGAATCCCTTGCCCAGGTTGGTGTGATATTGGGGAGAGGGGTCACGGAGAAAGGGAACAGGTCCCAAGCTAGACCAGAGCTGAGGAGAAACAGAGATCTCAGGCACTGGTGTCTGGAACCCCTGGGGCAGGAGCAGGGGATCAAGGGGATGGCAGCCCAAGGTTCAGAGTCCAGCTCACCTGAGTCTGCACCACCTGTCTCAGTCTCCAGAGGCTTTGGTTGCTCCTGGGAGGAGAGGAGGTCCTGGATCTGTAGGGGGTGGGGAGTGAGGGGCTGTGGGAAGGGGAGGGGGGCAGCTGGGTCTGGGGCCAAGGTCAACCTCATCTCTATCCCAGCCTGGCCTGGACCACCCCATCCCATCCCACCCTACCCTACACCACCTCACCCCATCCCATCTTTTCCCTTTGCACTCCATCCAGCCTCTTCCCTTCCTGTCCCACCCCACCCTGCCCCATCCCATCTTTTCCCATTGCACTCCATCCAGCCTCTTCCCTTCCTGTCCCACCCCACCCCATCCCATCTTTTCCCTTTGTACCCCATCCAACCTCTTCCCTTCCTGTCCCACCCCACCCCACCTTCACGGGGGGCCCTGGAGTTTTGGCAGGATCGATTGTGGGCACCCAGGATAGCTGCTAACCATTTCATCCCTCCCCAAGCTCCCAGGGGCCCTTGACTACGCACACTGGCCAGGCTGCTGTCCAGGTCAGGCAGGCTCATGTCTGTCACGGACACTGAGGGGCTAAAGAGCTACCAGAGAAAAGACAGGTTGTTGAGTGGGAAGAGTAGGCTTACTAAAGAGGATGGGACAGTGACGTGGACAGGCCCAGAACACTCACATCTAGTAGGGCGCTGGTATCTACACTGAAGCCGTGGGTGGTTAGCATGGTCTGTAGGTTGTCCAGGTTGGAGTCCATGGTATCCAGGTGCTCACTAAGCTCATTTCTAACCAGGCAAAAAAAGAAGGGACTAAGGATGAAGGGCAGGAGCAGACCAAAGCCAGCTCTGCTACTGAGAGCACAGGTCAAGGATGTGACGCCATCCTAATCTGGAAAGAACAGGGGTAGCTAACCATGGCCTCCAGAGGGCTGGGGTGCTCCTGATGTCCCATTTGTCTCTTGAGAATAAGCACTTGGGTATATATGAGGGGATGCTCTCACCACCTCATGGCTGGGAGGGAGGTGGGGGAAGACAGAGTCAGGGCTTACAGGCTAAGGGGCCCCAAAGAAAGGCCACTGACACAGCCTGCGACTGCATACAGATGTGTGGGTGCGAGAAGCTTCAGAGACTGTGGCATACCTGCCGGCTACTACTCCTTCCCACCCCAGGGCTCCCTCCACTTCCCCATATGGTCTCTAATTTCCTGCCTCAATTACTCCTGATGATCTCCCTCTCCACTTGGTCTGTCTCTGGGCTTTGGTTACAGCCCACTATATACCCAGCAAAGTGCCTCACACAGCACAGATGCCTAAGTGTTGGCTGGCTATGCACATTACCACCTGACCAACTTAAAACACTACTCTCACGGCCGTCCCCTGCTCAAGAACCCTCAAATCTAGTCCAGCTAGGATCAGGGCATGAACACCTTTTAAAAAATCCTGCATAAATGCTTATCCTTGAAGCTGTCCAGCGATGGGGATCTCACTACTTACTGAGGCAGGTTGTTACACTGTGGGACAAGTCTAGCTGTTCTAAGCTCCTGCCTGGCCTTTACCAGCTTCTCCCCTGTTCCCTAAGACAAAGCCCTCTGCCTTCCCCACGGAGCCCAAGCTTTGTCTTTCCCTGTTGTCTGCACAAGGCCCCTCCTCCTCTATGACTGCCACATTCCACTCATCTCCAGAAGACGGGCAACAAAGGCTCCACTGACTGACTGCCGTTATTCCCCAGGGAAGAGAAGAGCTCCGCTGCTGTTGCTCACCCCTCACCATCCCCCCTGACTGGTTTGTGCTAGACCGATGATAAGTCAAACACAGGTGCTCTGGTTGGAGGATCAGGAGAATTTAGGAAAGAAAAAGCTCCTGGTAAAGTTTGGACATAATGTTGTACGAGAAGACTACAGAGAAGAGTGAATACGATTCCTTGAAGTGTCTGATACGGGATGAGAGACTAGACTTCATTGCAAGTGGCATCAGACGTAGGAGCAATGGCTGTGAACACAAGGAGGGGCATTTTCACTCTGTGTAGAAGGACTAGCGGCTGCTGCGTGGTGGGAGGATCTGGCTGGACCAGGATGACCCTGGAGATTCCTTCAACTGCAAGATTTTTTTGATGCTACTTAGTGCTGGGCTCCTGGAGGTGCCAAACGGGAGGCTGAGGACAGAGGTTAGAGCAGAAAGCAAACTCTTCTTGGGCCACAAACTAATCCTTAAGACCAATCTCATCTAGCCAACCAATTTAACAATCTATTCCTTCTACCAATGAAGGGAGAGGTGGCTGGGGCCTGGAAGGAATGCAACTCAACAACTTTCAATCGCTGTCCAACTTTATCTAGGTTAAAATCCAAACCCAGGGTCACCTCCCAAGGATTCCACAACCTTTGACGTAAGGGCCTTTGAAAACTCAGGCAAAGTCTGAGTGTGTAAAGGGGTCCCAAAATGACCTCACTCGAATCAAGCTCCCTAACTATCCCAGGGAGGAATGGGCTGGCAGAGTGGGTGGATGGCTCTCCACCACCTGTAGACCCAACTAGGGAGCCTACCTGGAGGAGGTATCCCTATCTATTCCTGGGGGTACCTGGCCCAAGAGGGTGGTGACTGATGTGGCTTCACTGAAAGTGACTCTCTCCCCTGCATATGAAAGGGAAAGTATCCTGCATATTACTGGCCTCATCCAAGCCAGGCTCCCCTTGGGGGAAAGTTCACCCTAGCTGAACACACAGGATGTCATTAGAGTCACTGACACCAGTAGGCTAGGGTGGGCATTAGACTGAGCCTTGGGCGGATGGGTCAGGAGCTCTTCCCAAATATGCCCTTCCTCCCTCCCCCCTTTGCGGGCAATGCTAACCCTGGCTGTGATCGGCAATGCAGAGAGGAAGAGGCAGGGCTGGGGAAGAGGCGGGCGACCTCAGACATCTGTGGAGTGCGAGTCAAACTGCAAGATATAAAAGACGACAGCACGTGCCCGATTCAAAGTAGGGACTGGGGTCTGAAGGGTTCATGCACTCAATGCTTCCACCCTGTCCCAGGGCTCCTGGCTAGAAAGGACTGCCAGGCTCCTAGAGCACTGAGCCATTCATCACTTTCTCCATGGCTGGCCCTGGCCCCTGGGCTGCAGGTAAGCTGGGGTCAAAGGTGCCTGGCTCCCTAGGTGCATGTTGGGTTGAGGCCTGAAGAGGCAGAGGCAGATGCCTATGAAGGAGTTTGTGAGCACATACACAGCTCTTTTTCCCATCCAAGAAGGGAGATGGGGTAGACAGAAAGCAGCAGAAAGCAAAGAGCAGCCAGCAGGTTAATGGCAGAACCAGAGGTGGTAGCGGTAGCAGCAGCAGCAGCAGCAACACCAGGGTAGAGGTTTGTGTGGGTGCTGGGGAGTTCAGTTTAGTCCAGCTCTCACAAGCCAGAAGGGAGTCCCAGTGCCCTCGCACGTTTTCTTTCCCTCAGGTTGACTCTGGGCTGATGTGTGCGATGTCTCTGTACACCCACACTCACTTGTCGAGGCAGGCTACGCTGAGGCACTTCTCGGGAGTCTGGAGGGGACCTGGAGGTGGAGAGGAGATGGCCCCACCCACAGTGCCAGAAACAGAGGCGGCAGCGCTGGGCTCACTCTCCTGAAGAATGGAGTCGATGAAGGTGCAAGGGGACAGGGGAGTCTCCACCACCGAGGGGGGGTGGCCTGGACTGGTCTCCTCGATCTGGGGGCTTCGTGGTGGGCTGGGGGGCTCCTCCTTGATTCGTATCATTGGGCTGATCCTGAGGAGAGATGGGTTTGCCCATACATATAGATACCCAGAAGCAAGGTTGGCATAGCTTGTGGGGGCACCTCCCCAAGGTCCAGCTTTTTGTCCTGTCTTCTCATATCCCCTTCCCTCCCTGGGGCTTTGTGGTCCACAGCTTCTATCACTGTGAACTGGGCCTGAGGCAGGGGTTACAGGAGCAAGAAGGCAGGAGGCCACAGGGTGGGTGCTTACAGAGGAAGAGGAGGGAGGCCCATAGGAGAAACACCAACACTAAAGTCAAGAAGATTCCTCATGGCCTTGAGGGGAGAGGGGCAGCCTGCAAAGGAGTCAAAGTCCTGACCCTAAATCTGTGTCCCTAAGGCAGTACAGGGGGATGCCAAGGACAGGGAAGAAGGAGTGGTGCTGGGGCCCTACCTCTCATCCACGCTGCCACTGGGGGAGGCCGAGGGGCTGGATTGGGCCAGCTCTGTGACATCTGAAATGATGGGTCCACTATTGGCTGCGGAGTCTGAGGAGTATAGGTTGGAGCCACTATAGGTTGGGGAAGAAGCCTGGAACAGCCAAACAGGGTTGAGGGGGTGGTCAGGGCAGGAACCCTATCTTGTTTTTCCTTCCTCTTCCTTCCCCCATCACATTAACGAGTGAGGTCTGCTCTTGAGAGGCTCTCCATATGGGATTCCTTTCCAGGGGCAAGCTTTCTCTTCCCTGTCCTGGAAACAGGATTGTGGACTTCATCCAATCCCAGCCTCCTGACTCCTTCCTGATCTCTCTCCTCTCCTGACTCTTTGGCATTCCCCTCCTCCCAGGAATATTATCAAATGAGACACTATTTGCAAAGTGCTTATCCCAGTGCCTGACACACAGTAGGCAGGCATTTAATAGATGCTTGTCCCCATCCCCTCCCCCGTGTGCTCACCGTGTAGGGAGAGGAGCCATGGACATGCTCTAAGGAGTACTGGCGGCTGTACTTGGGCATGGAATGTGCCGAGCTGCTATCATTCAACATCAGGGGGCTGCAAGGGAGGGAGTCCCAAGAAGGAGAGGTCAGACAGAAAGGGAAGAGTGTTCAAGGGGTACCAGTAAAAGGTATCCAGGGTAGGAAGGGCTGGGCCTGCCCAGGGGTAATGATTCTGATCCTCAGGAGAGCACGGTCTGTTCAGAGGCTATGGGACAAAGATGAGGTGGGGGTGATGTGTCCTGAGGTCTGCTCTGAGAGCCAAAGCCAACTACTCACATCTTCCTCTTCACCCCCAGGATCCGGTTTGACTGGACAAGAGAGATCAGGAACTGGATCAGCTGTACGAACAGAGAGAAAGGCGGTTGGCCTGGGCTCCCCACCTCGAGGCCTCAAGCATATCTGCTATTTTTAGGTCTAGGAAATGGAAAGCAACCAAGGTGGACCTATCCTTTCTCCTCTATTTTCACAAGCTCTCACCTTGTTGACTACTTTTTGCTGTTGGGCATGCTTCTGCCGAAGGCTGGCAACCTCTCTCCACAGGGCTTCATTCTCACTGCAAGAAAAACAAGGAAGGGGGATGAGCAAAGAGGGCCTGGGAACCCACAGCACCCCAGACTAACACTGTGCCAAGCATTGCACAGGGCCCTGGAGGAGAGAAACTTAGACCCTCATGGAGCTCAGGCTCATCCAGGTACATCAGAAGTTTCAGATGAAAAAACTGAAGTGAAGTGATTTGCGCTAGGTTACACTAGTCATAAATATCAAACAGAATTTGAACCAAAGTCCTCTGACTTCAACTCTGGGGGCTTTCCCCTAAGCTTCATGGGGGAGTGACAAGAGTGAGGGATAGAAACACAAAGAGAAACAGCTCCTTGCTGCCCCCTGTGGTGGCTGAGCCTGGGGACTCAAACTGGCCCCAAACAGGGAGCGGCTGGTGAGTCTGGGGCACAACGTCTGGCGCCTCCTCTCTTTCCTTCACTGGCCAGGCCAGCTGGAGAAATAGGGTATTCACTCAACCAAAGCTTCTTTGGGTAGGGAAGGACAAGTGTGTCCTGCTCCACAGCAGGAGAGGAAAGAGAGTTTGGAACCAGGGGAGAAAGCCTTGGTCTCAGCACCCCAATCCCCCAATTCTGGAAAATCAGGAGGAAGAGACAATGAAATATCAAGATAACAATTTTGTTCCCTTGGAACTGTCATTGGTGCAGCTTAATTAAACACAGCCCCAGATCTTGTCACATTGCAATTAGGACAAGTTATCTGATGGGGCAAGGTTCTGGGGCCTGGGATATGCTAGGAGCCCCGATGACAGCTCAGGTAGCACACTGATTCTCTTTGTGTGTTGACTCCCCCGCCCCCTTATTTTTTTAGCCTGCTTCCTGGCTTCTATTAGCAATCCAGAAGACAGTGTGTATAATGTTGCTCTGACCTAGTTGTTGTTTGTCCTTCATTCTTGAAAAGGACCATGACTTCAGGAAGGTGAGGCCATGACATGCAAGTGAATTGGATTTAAGTGAGGGAGGGCTGTGCAAAGTCACCAGCCTCACCTTCTCTTCTGGAGCCATCTGGGTCCAGTGGCCACATATAGATCAGGACAACTGGATATGGCCCTGGATACAATGGGAGACCCTGGCCCTTTTAAGTGAAGGTCTTTAATAGGTCTGTTTGACTGAGGAAATGCCTAATCAGTGATTAAGGCTAGGTAAGAAACGAGACAGAGAATGGCCTCTTTTACTTAATTAAAAAAAAAAAACCAATCTGGGAGAGGAAGATCCTCTGGGTTTCTGGCCAAAACACAAATAACTACTATTTACGTTCACTCTGAGCCAATCAGATGGCTCTGAAGTAGGAAGTGAGGCTGGTGACTTTGCATAGCCCTCCTTCACTTAAATCCAATTCCCTCGCATGTCATGGCATCACCTCCCTGATGTCATCGTCCTCTTCAAGAACGAAGGACAAACAACATGAATAGCAGTAGGAGCTGCCCCACTGGGGACCCCACTGGAACTGGCCAGTTGGACAACACAGTTCCCTCTTTTTTCTTTCTTTCTTTGTCTTTCCCTTCACTTCCCTCTGTCCACATAGGGTAACACACTCTTTATCATCAGACGCTCTGCTCAAAGGAATGTAAATTTTCATCACTGAAACCTCACAAGATATCTTGGGGTTTACAGCTAGATTTCTTTCTTAAGGATCATGCCTTAAACCCAAATCACTCTGGCTCTCACTGACTAGCTAACAATAGGTCCCAGGCCAAGCCCCACTTGGTCATTGTAAAGGGAAGGCACAGCAGTACTGGAAGAGGTGTTTCCCACTGGGCAGAATAGACTCAGGTAAGCTGGAGGTGGGGGTTGGAGAATCAAGATTCTCACAGGAGACCAACTATGCCAAAGGCCAGGATTCTAAGCCCAGAGAAACAGTACCCTTTGACTTTAAGAAAAAGATCCCTCAGTTAAGGTACTGTTTGGGGGAAAAACTAAGTTACCTTCCCAGGACACATGAAGGATTTAGGTGCCTGGGGAAAAGAAGGGCTTCTAGAATGTATTTCCGTCAAGCCTCATACATATGGATTGAGTTCTCTGAGTGCAGGAAAAGGGCTTCCCTTTCCTATCACTCTATTAACTCTTGGTAGCTCCTGACAGAATGAAGAAGAGGGGCAGTGACCACCTGATATCGTTGGTCCCAGGTTCTGGGCTGGGGCGGGGAGGCAGGGGGGCCCGGCCACTGGTCTCAGTCTAGCTCTTCACCTACTTTCCACGGCCTCCAAACAAAACCAAAGCAAAAAACTCACGATGTCAGGACTGTACAGCCCTGCCAGGATCCTAGCACTGTGGGCTGTCAAACTGCCAATGTGCAGTTAAGGATCAGCATCTGGGAGTACTTGTGTGTATCTGAGCATGCATATGCCTATGCTTTGGGATCAGAAAGAGAAATAGCAGAGTATGAAGGAATCTGACTTAGCATGGGTGGTCAGATCAGATGGAACCTCCAAGTGGAGAAAAAAGGCAAACAACGGACTGGAGTTAAACACAGAGGAAGAAAGGCATTCTTAGAAGATGACTGCTATGCATTTATGTTTTTCTCTTTTTTTGGGAGGGTGGTGGTGGTAAGTGGCAGGACTGGGAAATAATTAAAGTCCTGCCCTTTCATAGAACACCCCAAGAAAGGGGCCTATGTTCTTCCCCATCCTCCTCCCTTTGGAAGAAACAATCTTTCCTAACACATGTCCAGAGAGGAAAGTGATCAGCATGGTGAGGGAACTGAGGACTGGACACGATGCCATGTAAAGATCAGCTAAAGTACGTGGGGATGTGCGGCTGGAGAAGAGAAGACTGGTGGGGACATGGGAGTCATGAAATACGGGGGGTCCTCGTTATCTGAGTTCTCTAAGTTAAAAAGGTTCCATTCAAATTAGACAGGAGGTACAAAGCAATCTCCCTGAGGCATAACGGGATGGTTCTCTCCCATACTAAACAAATATACTCTAGTTCCCCCAAATCTTCAATTTCACTACCATCCTCCCAGTCACCTAGGCTTGCAATGTAGATGTCAACCTCTATTGCTTACTCTCACCCCACATCTAATATAAATAGCTATCATTTACACAGCACTCTAAGGTTTGCAAAGTGCTTTACAACTATTAGCTCATCTGATTCTCACAACAACACTGAGAGGTAGGTGCTTTTACTACCCCCATTTTACAAATGAGTAAATGGGCTGAAAGAGGCTGACTTGTCCACAGTCACATAACAACTAAGTGTTTGAGCCTGGACTTGAACTTTTCTTTCCAACTGAATTAAATTCAATGAACACTTATTAAATGCCTACAATGTGCCAGGCATTGTGTTAAATGCTGGGGATACAAAAAAGAAAGACAGTCCCTGCCCTCAAGGAGCTTACAATCTAAAAGGTAAAGACAACACACAAAAGGAAGCTGGAAGTGGGGACACCAAGGGGGCATCTTGTTCCAAGGAGTAGTCATTCAGTCCACTGACTTGGCTTCCTTGATGTTACCTGAACAAGATGATATATCCCCTCATATGTGCGATTTTTACTGGCTATCCCTCCTTCCATGTCTGGAATTCTCTCCCTCCTCATCTCTGCCTCCTGACTTCCTTCAAATCTCAGTTAAAATCTTACCTTCTACAAGAAGACTTTCCTGATCTTGCTTTCTTTTGGACATTATCACTAACTTGTTCTGCATATATCTTGCTTGTGCAGTTACTTGCATGCCGTATAACACCATTAGACTGCAATCTCCCTGAGAGGTTTTTTTTTGGGGGGGAAGGGACTAGGGTACTTTGTCCCGTCACCGCCCCCCCCCTTAAAGTTTTTAATAACTGCTTATTGACTGACTAGAATTGTTTTTCTTCATTTCTGGTAAGTAGGGATTGATCTCATCCTATTTTTAAAGGGGAAGAGTATGGTAGTGATGGTGATGAAGAAGAAAAAAGTGGAGGGCCACTGAAACATTTTTAAAAGTGCAGAGGAAAGCAGAAGTTAGAAGGATGTACAGACTTTTTTAACAAAAGCAAGTGGAATGGAATGAGATTCAGTTTCATATATAATCCCTTTTTTGTAGGCATACAGTACAAAAAAAAAATTTCTAGCTTAGATCAATATTTTTGCTTTCAAATTTGTCAATATTTTATTTGGTCTTCAGAATTTCCAATTTGGTGTCAAACTGGGTTTTTCTGATTTGTTGCTTTTCTAGTTTTTTTTTTTTAATTTTTAGTTGCATGCTCTATTCAGTATCTTTTTCTTTTTTTTTTTTTTTGCCTGATTCAAACATTCAAACATATCTATTTTGCCTTAAAGGCGTGCTTTAAACTCATTCCCTTAGCTTTGCTATGTTGTCTCATTGCCATTTCCTTTGATGAATTTTTCCTTTCTTTCCACGACTTGTATCTGACCTACCAGTTCTTTAGGATTAGTCTCCAATTAACCTTTAATTCTTTTTTTAAAGGCCTTGAGACAATCTATTTTTATTGCATTGTTTTGAGTAAAGGATGTGTCTTCACATTTTGCATGTTAGTAAGGTATTTATGAGCTAATACATAGCCAATTTTTGTAAAGGTGCATTGTATAGTGGAAGGATATGTATAATCCTTTTTGTTCCTATTTAAAAATGGCCAGAGATCATTTCTAACTTTTCTAAGATTCCACTAAAGTGCTTACATTTGTTAGATTTGTCTAGGTCTGAAAGCGGTACACGAATTAGTTTTATTGTGTAGTTCTTCTTGTACTCATATCACCTCTTCCTTTAGATGTAATTTAGTCCATACATATTAAGTGTTGCTATTGATTTGCTGTCTATGGTACTTTTAAGCATGGGGTAGTTTCCTTGCTAACACATCTATTTTTGTTACCTTGTATAAGATGATTTCTCCACTCTCCTTTTTTGAGTTCACCTGAAGCATAACAGTTTTTGCTCCAGTACTTTATTTTAACTATGTGAATCTTTATGTTTCAAGGGTATTTCTTGTATACATTCTGTCAGATTCTGCTTTCTAATCCATTCTGCTAATCCTCTTCTATTTTTTGGGTGAGTTTATC